ATTTATTTAAATTTTTATTAAATAATTTATTTTCTTTTTAAATGGCTTACTTATAGAATTATACTAATTTATCTTATAATTTCTAATATAAACTAABYRRTRATTTCCWTTTYCCAATATTAYACTAATTTATCTTAATAATTTGTGTAATTATTTGTTCAAATTATAGTTTTCCATTTCCCATAGTCATTTATCTTTAATAATTTTCAATGAAAATTACATAATTTTTTAATGGTTTCCAAAGTCTATCAAATGTAATAAATTTTCCTAAAATTTCTAAAATACTCTAATAATTTTCAATAATTATTTAATGCATTTTAAATAAACTTTCAAATACTTTATATCTTTTAATTTTAAAAATGTTATTTTACGAAAAATGTAGTTTTATGAAAATTTTTGAAAAATTTATTGCATTTGTGTAAGTATGGGGATTTATTTGTTAGTTTACTAACAAAATTACACTAATTTATCTTTTACTTTTCAATATAAATTAATTAATAATTTCATTTTCTAACATTATAATATTTTGTTCCCCCATTTGTATTTGGTTATTAATTATGATAATAACAATGACTAAAATTTTATACTTTTTGATAATTGTTAAGTATAATTCTCAATTTTATAGAAATTAGTTAAAGAGTTTTCAATTTCTATAAAATGTTGTTAATGAGTTAGTTAATAACAATATTTATTAATTTTTGGTAATTTACTAACCGTATTTATTAACTTTTGGTAATAACACTATTTAATACTCAATGAATATGGGTGGGATTAAACATTAACCGTATTTAACTACTTATTAACTAATATGAATATTTTAAATGAGGGAGAGTGGATATAGATTGGGAGGATGCATTTTAGGAATTGATTAGGGAGTGGGGCAACATGATACTTAGAGGTGTAAATCGGGTCGTGCCGCCTGTGGCCCGGCACGATGGTCCGCGAGTCGTACCAGGCCCGACACGATCATGCGGGCCATATTAGGTCTGGGGTTTTAGGTCCACGAGCAAGCATGGCATGGCACGACCAAGCGGGCCGTGCCACCCGCGGCCCGTGAGCCAGCACGACCCATATATATTATTTATATATTTATATTATATATATATATAAATTATAATTATATAATAATATATAGTATATAATATATTAATAAAATAAATATTTTTTTAATTTTATTATACTAATTTATTTAATTATTGTATATATAAGCAATTTTGTACACAAAATTCATATAAAATTAAATTTTTAAGTTTTTATCATTTTTTTTAAATAAATAGCTTTGGCCTGATGCACGGCCCACGGGCTAGCTTGGCCCATAGCACACCACGGTCCTGCATGGGCTTGGGCCGTGGGCCATGTTGGGCCGACCCCCAAATTTTCACCAGGGAGGGCAGCATGGCCCGTGATAGCCCGSGAGCCAGCACGGCACGGCTCGTGGGCGGCCCACTTTACACCTCTAATGATACTTTCCAATTGGTTTAAATGAGATACCTTAGGGGAGAGATTAGGTAGTTGGGTGACATGGCTTAATGGGAGTGGTGGGAAGGGGAGATGAGAGAAAGTCAAAGAGAATGTAGGGTGGGGATAATGGAGCAAGCAAAGGCATGGTGACGGGACCCGTGCTTTGTTAAGTGAAAGTTAAACCACTGTTTCCAAAACCGGACCGGACCAAACGATCGGACCAAAAAATCGGGAACTGGTCACCTAACCGGTTCCGTTTTCCTCCAAAACCGTTGATTTTGGTCAACAAACCGCTGAATCGGCCGGTTAACCATTCGAACGGTTTTGACTATTTTCCAATTTTTTAAATTTTTTTGTCAGAATGGGTTGGCCGTTCGGGTTGAACGGTCGGATCATTCGAACTGGTAACCGGACCCCTAACCAGTTCGGTCACCAGTTCGTTTTTAAAAACCATGAGTTAAACAATAGAAATATATAAGATTATATAATTGTTTTATATTTTAACTTTTTAATAAACAATTTGATCAAACTCAACCCAAGTTGGTCAGTTTTCTAGTATTTCAGATCAGCTTTGGTTTAATAAATAAATATATATATATATATATATTAATATTTTATATTGTAAATTTATTTTTTTTAATACGAGAAAGTAAGAAAATTCTCATATTTGTTAGTCTACAATATTTTATATCATAGATTTAATTTTTGTAATTTATTTTTTAATAATATCATTATAATTTATGAAATCTAAAGTTAATTTTTAAGTTTAAATCTTTTGAACAAAAAAACTATACCGAAAATAGACCTAAATTGATACAACTCGAGTTGGTGGATTTTCGCTAATGGTCAATTGGTTTCGAGTGACAAATTGCGGAGTTGACCAAATCAATTTGACTGGTGAAACAGCCTGCAACTGAACTGAACTAATCATTGAACACTCCAAATTTCAACTAAACTTATAGTCTAATCTCTAGTAAATAACAATAGTTAAATCTCCAATAATTATTGAAAATTTATAGCAAACATACACAATCATTAAAAATAAGTTTATAATGAAAATATAATAGATATATAATAAAAATACAATAATTACAAAAATATAATAAATAATAAAAATATACTAAATTAGTCAATAAATAGTGTAATCTTAAATAGTAGTTTAATCTCTAATAAGTATTAATCTATAAATTATAAAAGCTATATAATTACTAAAAATAAATTTATAACAAAAACACAATAAATACGATAAATTAAATTTCAAAAGTTAGAAAATAGTTGTTTAATCTTCAATAATTATTGATAATTTTCTATTAAATAACAAAAAAAATACATTTATAAATAATTATTGAAAGCATATTTATAAAAAAAAACAATAAATAATTACTGAAAATAAAATAAATATTAATCATAGTATTTATAAATATATAATTAATATACACTATTATTGTAAAATTATTACTAATAAATATAATTTTTTTGATAGTTATTTTCTATAATTATTAATTGATATAAGTGAAATTATTTATTTAAAATATTATTTAGTTATTGAAATAATATTTTTATTTAAATTCTTAAAATACTAATTATTTATTGAATTTAATAATCCATAAAATTATAGTTGTACTATTATTATATAATTCGTTATTAATTTTGTAATATGAATATTATGAATTCTATTATAATTATTTTTCTACTTTTAAGACTTTTTTAA